ATGTGAGTCAGTTCCCTGACTGTTTTGGTGAGGCAAACAGCTAAAAAACTCCATATTTCATGTATTTATTACACCATGTGCCTCTATCTGGACATGCATTATTTCTTTGAATATGACTATTTCCCAAACCTTGTGCAGCTATGCAAGTTCTGCTTGCCTCAGGGGTTTTACGAGGATGACATTTAACATGTGTCTATTTACAATTTCTAAGCAAGTTTCATGTGTTTTAATTTTGTCAGATTTCTCTAGATTTTGCTGATTCACCACTTCAGAATATCTTGCTGTTTGAATAGTTAAATTTGTCTTCGGTTATAGCTTCTTGGAAGGGTTTTTATCTGCTAATCCAATAACCCATTGGTCCTCTGGTGCTGAAGCCCTCACAGGAAAAAAAAAAAGTAGATGCTCAGCATCCACCAGCCACCTTCCCATCAGCTCTTGGGTGGCAGGAGGAGGCAGTGTGAGGTTGAGACACTGAGGGAGGGGGAAGGAAAAGGCAGAGTGGGTATGGAGCTCTGGGGCAAAAGAGACATAGAGCACTCACACAGAAAAATTAAGTCAACACCTGTATTATTTATTGCTTTTTTTTCCTTCTTCCTGAAACCATTGGTTTTTTCCCTTCTGTTTCTATTCTTGATTTACTCCTGACGCCATGTCATGTTCTTCTATACCACACATGAACTGGCTATAGAACTTACTTGTGCACACCAAGTGTGTTCATCATAAGGCTTTTTGATGCTCTACCAGGGAAGGCAGAAGCTTATTTAAATGAAGAAGCCACCTAGTGGCTGAACAGGACAGTACAGCTTAGCATTTCATTACAAGTTGCAACCAAACTGCATCTGTTTTGTTATGGGAGCTTAGGTTGGATGTCATGTCTGAAGACAGCTGGCATTTTTTACCAGATGGAAGGTTCCTCTGCCTCTGTATATGTCAGTTTTTATAACATACCAATGGTTACATAGTATCTTTATATATACTGCCTTTTCTCTATAAACAATACAAGCAGGCATAAATGCAACTTTATTTCTTCAAGGCAAGTGAAATAGACCAGAAGGTTGTAGCTTGTGTGAAATCAACAGTAGGTTTCCCACAGTATAAATCGATAGGCTCTTCAGTTTCCTTCCTCTTCCCCAGTGGATTCACTGAGCTGCTGGCTGAAAAATTGTCCTTTATCATTCTCCTGCAGGCCTGAACTTTGTGACACAGGCATCTCCCTTTGGGGAGAAAATGAAAAAGCAAACAACATTGCTTAATGCCCAATTGGAAGTTCCTTAGTTGTTATGGTAATGAATACATAACAAAATTAATGATGAATTAATAACAAGTTATTCATAATGTTATCTAATTTTAGCACCAACTGTGTGTCTGGCACTGTCTAGGAAGGCATAAAGACAGACATGGTCCATGCGCCAAGCAACTTAAAGCATAGGGTGCAAGGGGAGAACCAGAGGCTTAAGCATTTTTAACTTTTCTGTAGCATTGCGACTCAAGTTCAGGCTAGTTTGTCAGTAAAAAGGGAAATTTTCAGGGAGTTCGTCCCAGGGCTTAATCATGTTTGCTATTTGAAATATATATAGTATAACAGGCCATAAATATTAGTGTAGAAATCTTTATGGATTGTTGGCCTTACTAGCTTATGATATGAGAGCCATTTGGACCCCTCCAGTATGGAATGTGGAATCACATAACATCCTGGTTACTAAGTGTCAGATTCTAACTGGCCATAACACAGCTGTACTAGGAAATGAAACCTCCCCAGTCTTCTCTGGGGCTTGCTTTGGGCTCCTGCCTGAATTTTGGGTTTCGCTGAGCATTGGAAGTGCTCCAGAGTAAGTATGGAGTGGAGCTGCAATAGCCATGCCCCAGGGAAGGCAAGTTATGGTGGGGAGGAAGTAATCTGCATCCTTTTTCTGGGCTATAGTTACACTCTGATGGAAGCAAAATAGAGAGCAAGTGAGGAATTGGTGACTCTTAAGACCATGCACCAGTTACCTAAGATCAAGTTGCTCACCTTGTAGCTTTTTCCCAGATACTGGCAGCTGGGAATGAGGGAGCTACGATTGTTTCCATGCCAGTTCTGTTCAGATACACTGGGGAACTGAGACTACCTTGTACACTGGACATAGGTGTTTGAAATCCTCCCAAGGCTGCTCATGGGAAGCACCCTACATACAGCTCCATATACAGAGTTTAGAGCCTGTTGTCATGCTAGCCCTAAGGTTGCACATGAGGTGATCTCTTCCTTTCAAACTCTGTTTGATCTGTTTCCATCCCCCTTAGAAAATCCAAGCAAGACACAGATTCTGTTACTCTCCTCTTTGTTCTTTCTCAAGGAAGACATCACTTATGGAATATCTAGACTACAGGGTTTTTTTGAAAGAAGATATGCAAATGTGGTGAGAATTTTCATATCTTCTTCCGAT